TTTGCCCGCCCCCGGCGCCTGGTCGGCTCTTTTCCCGCCATTCTTTTTCTTCTTGAGAACTGGATGCTTAGGTGAGATCTCGGACGTTTTGGAACCACAGTGGCCACCGTGGAGGGAAGGTAGCTAGAAAAGGAACTGGGAAATTTGAGCTGCAAAATACCCGTCAATCCTAGAACCCGGGCGAATTTTGCCCTCACTGCCCCGTGAGGAACCGCTCCGCAGCCGGAGCAGTCGTTACTGCCTTTAGCGAAGCGGGCCTCGACCGCAAGGCCTTCGCAGTGGTTCACCAGGCCCCCCCTGCCCCAGGCCCTGGTGGAAAGTTAGTGTATCCTGAGTAGTAAATTCAAATCTCGTGGCCTTTGCATTAACCCTTTTATTCAGTAATATTTTATGGTAAATCTTGCCTTATGTGACAAAATTATTGAAGTGTGATGCAGAGTGGGCTTCATTAACTTAGCCAACCTCTTTGTAAACCAGTTTTTTTGGGGCGGCATAGGGAGAATGCTTGCCTAGCATATGGAAAAATTTTTTGTGTGGGCTGGGGGTTTTTAGCTCAGTGGTGCCACTGCCTGCACTGCACCCGAGTTTGATCCCCGGTACCAAAAAAAAAAAAAAAGTAAAAATTTTTGTAGAGGAAAAGGCTTCATAGAGAAAAATTACCTTCTGTTTTGATTGTTTTTCCAATTAATTTTGAAGGAAATAAAATCAATGAATATTATATCCTGAGATAGCATACTCATTAAACGTACAAGCTCATCCTTATTTTTTATATCAATTTGTTTAAAAATCTCACAGTAACATTAATTGGTTATGTACTTAGCAAATTATATGAGATTGGTGTTGGTAGAAAATATAGGATGCGTGGTTGTCCTTGTCTAACACAAGGGCTGTTTAGTGTGAGAGCAAGAACTTTACACTAGGAGTCATGAGACTTGGATTCTAATCCTAGAATTATCACTAACCAGATATAGAACTTTGAGGCTATTTAATTTCACTGACCTTCAGGTACATCTTTTGAAAAAAAAATGATAGTATTGGACAAAATAGTAAATTATTTTCAAGGCCATCCTAGACCTATGATTTTGAGTTTCTGTAGAATAGATGGGAAAATATACACGCTAAGACCATATTGTCATTCACCAAACAGCATTTTCTTTGTATAAAATGTGATTTCTATAGGATCTCTTTGTGGTCCACTAACTCCTCTTGCCTCCACTTTTTATGTGTCACAGGAAACTGTCAAGAAAGAATTTGGTTTTCTTTTCTTTGTTTGGTACCAGGGACTGAACTCTGGTCCTTGTGCTTGCAAGGCAGGCTCCAGAACCACTGAGCTAAATCCCTGGCCCAGAATTTGTATTTCTAAGAGTGTTTTTCTAATTACAAATCGGTACATGAGTTAATCCAGGAAATTTGGAAAACAAAAAAAGTGTAAAGGTAACACACAAATACTCATTTTTAAAAACAATTTCGCCACTGTCTTCCTATTCATATTCTCTCTCTATATATATATATCTATAGATATATATATGCAGGCTATGCCATATACAGTGGTACTTAAATTCACAAATGCTTTTGTTTGCAAATAATTTGGCAAAATTTTTTGTTTGTACACAGCATCAGATGAGAAACAACTTCAGGCATCTTTCCCACAGAAACACGAATGTGGCCATCTTTTCCAAAATTGTAGAACAAATTAAGTTCATGAACTGAAGTACTTCTGTGCACATATGTGTGTGTATGTGTGTGTGTGTGTGTGTGTATGTATTAACATAGTCTCAAGTCTGCTTTTTCTTGTTTTATGTGTATATATTTACAACTAATTGGAATGTTCATGGTTATGTGCCCACATCCCAATAAACTGTCAGAAACTAAGCAAATAATTTTATATAGATTTTGGAACAGCTATAATTATATTATGCCTCACCTCATTCTTATTCTTTCTTTTTATCTGTTCCAGAATGGATTGGTTTCACTGCAACCAGTGTTTCCGAAAAGATGGGGCCCATTTCTTTGTCACCAGCTGTGGCCATATTTTCTGTAAAAAATGTTTGACTCTGGGTGGGTAATTTAATTGTTTTTTCCCTAGATACAGTGATTAGCCATTTCTCTGTTTGACTTAGGATAAAAATCACTTGGTAGGCCAATAGTGATTTGTATACCTTGGGAAGCTGTTGATTTTAGAAATTGAAATCTCTTAATAAAGAATGGTGCTAGGGCTGGGGATTTAGCTCAGTGCTTCCAGTGCCTGCCTAGCAAGTGTAAGGACCCAAGTTGGATCCCTGGTACCAAAAAAAGAAAGAAGGAAAAAGAAAAGAAAAGAACGGTGCTAAATTATTTAACAAATTTTTACTTGAGTAACAAAAGATACTTACCAGTATTTTGAAATCTGTGGCAGAAAAAGCCACAATGGGTCAAAAAAGGATGATGGTGGGGATAATGAATGTGATGACCTTGTAGTTTAAAGAAGAATTTGTCAGAGGCCCATCAGTTCTCCACTCTGCCTAGAGAGGGGTGCAGCAAGGGATAAAGAAAGAATGACATAGAAACACTTTCAAATTACATGGGGGGCTGGGAGGTCAATGTCAGAGTGAGCAAAGACAAAGACAATCCAAGCTAGCCACTGTTGGGTGCACACAATAATCTGAGGGATTATCAGATGAGTCAGAGAGTGGCAGTAATCTTATATTGATGAGAATTTTAGGTTAATGAGGACAGTGAGATGGGCAAAGCATTCTTATAATAGTAGGTAGAATGAGACAGTGGGCTAATAAGGAATTTGTCCTTCCCCCAGGTAAAACTTTTTTTTAAAAAAAATTATTACTACTTGTTTCTCAAGAAACCAGGATGTCTTCAGCTGATGTAATCTTGCCCTTGAGGGTCACAACATCACAGGACTATTGAGGCCTCATCTGTGACTGGAGGCTCACAGAGTCAAATTTCCGCGTACCATAACTGGCTTACACAGCAAGGACACTAGGCCTCAGACAGCCCTAATCACAATTTAATTATGAAATGATTTTTCTCCAAAAATTATATAGAATGCTCTCAATAAGAATTTATAGCTGGGTGTGATGACACACTCCTATAATCCCAGCACTCAAGCTGGGCAGGAAGAATGCTATGAGCTCCAGGCCAGCCTGGGCTCCATAATGAGTTAAATGCTATCCTGAACTACATAGTAAGACCCTGTCTCAAAAAAACAAAACAAATTAAAAAAAACTGTAAAAAACATTTTTTCTTGTACCTAGGTGATAATTGTTAGTATAGATAACTTTTACAAATGAGGAAATTGACTTAGAGAATAATGTGACCAAACTCATAACTATTAAGCCTTAGAAAGGAGACTTAGATTTAAAATTGCTCTTGTTTTGTTTGCAATGCTGGGATGCCAGGCATGGTAGTACATTTTTGTAATCCCAGCACTTGGGAGGCTGAGGCAGGGAGGATCTCAAGTTGGAGACCAGCCTGGACTATATAGTGATCAGGAAAGAGTTTACAAAAGAGGTTCTGTTGAATTGTTTTGGGTAATAAACTAGAGTTTGCCAAGTGAAGGGAGAGAAGATCATTACAGTTTTAGGCAATAGCATGTATGAAAGCATACAATATTATGAAATCATGGGAGAGATGGGAACAGTGACATATTCCTATAATCCTAACACTCTCTTGAGAGGCTGAGGTAAGAGGATCCCAAATTTATGCCCAGCCAGTACAACTTAGGGATTTAGTAAGACCCTGTCTCAAAATTAAAAAAAAGAAAAAAAAGTGCTAGGGACATAGCTCAGTGAGTGGTGTATGCTGGGTTTAGTCCCTTCTACTGCAAAACAAAACCAAATTAGTGAAGAGAGCTATACATAGTTGGGATTGTTAGAATATAAAAAGTAAAGTAAGCGGTAATAAAAGATGAGGCTAGAGAGGTGGACAGTAGCCAGATGATGGATATCTCTATATATTAGGCTAAAGATCCTGAACTTTATCCTGTAGGTTATCAAGAGCTGTGTAAAGTTTTTTTCTTAAATAAAAAAATGAACTGTACTTGCTAGTTTACACTGGGAGTGATATGGAAGAGTCATTGGGAAAAATCTTTATTCCCCAAGGAAAGAACATTCAGGTTAGCTAGTCTCTGGAGAAGCTTTTTTCTTTGTGTGAATGTCATGACCCTTTTAGTTATCTCCTAATGTAACAAAGCACTTCACTCTGGTAATGGCAGCTCACTTTGAAGTGATGTGTCTCTGTGAAGCCAAAGATGTGGGATATTTTCCCCTGACATGGCATGTATCTCCATTAATAACCAGCACCACTACTGAAATTTCACTTTACAACAAAAGATGAGGAATTTTATATTTGCTTCTTTGATATTGGAGTAATTGGGGACTTAGAGAGCATTGAGACAAGATCTAGGAATATTAACAAAGTGAAAAGAGGAAGGAATAATTGAGTTTCTTATAATACCCAGTATGTGCTTGCTATCAAGCAGCTAGGATAATGAAAAAAAAAAAGTGACAAAGTAAAGATTATTGGGATGTAGAGAATGAGGAAAGGAGAAAGGGGATTTGAGGAAGTGACTGGATCATGGGGGTGTGATACTCATCAGCTGATTAGTTTAATGATGAGTTTATAGCTAAATGTGAGTTGGAAGGTAAATCCTAGGTGGACAAGGTGGGTTATTGAGGGCGAGGTCTGGAAGGATCTATCGCCTTCCTTTCTCCTTTGATCCTTTCCTCTGCTTTCTACCTGCCATGCCATGAGCTGTTGGTCCTCTGCATGCTCCTCTACCATGCTGCCCTGCCTTGGAGCCTGCTATGGTCTGAAGCCTCTACAAACTGTAAGCCAAAGTAAACCTTTCCTCCTTGAAGTTGTGGGTTTTGGGTATCGTGTCTCAACTAGAAGAAAGTAATTACAATATCAATTTTTGATCAGGTCTTTTATTTGGGGAGGGTTCTAACTTTTGAGTTCTTTGTATATCCTAGATACAAGTCCTTTGAGGAGTACCTGGCAATTTTCTTTTCTTCATGCGTTCTGGATTCTCCAGCATATGTTCTTGGCCCTTTGTCAAAGATCAGATGGCTGAAAGTACATGGGGTTGTTTCTGCATCCTCAATTCTATTCCATTGGTCATTGGATCTATTTTTGTGCCAGTACCATGCTGTTATTTTTGTAGTTTTGTAATGTGGGATTATAATGCTTCCTGCTTTGTTCTTTTTTCTCAGGACTGACTTGGCTGTTCTGTGTCTCTTCTGGTGCCATATAAATTTTAGGATTTTTTTTTCTAGTTCTGTAATGAATGCTATTGGTATTTTTATTGGAATTGCATTAAATCTATTTATCATTTTTTGGTAATACAGCCATTTCTTTCCAGGAACAGGAGATGTCTTTCCATTTTCTAATGTTCTCTTTAATTTCTTTTTTCAGAGCACTATAATTTTCATTATATAGCTCTTTCTCTTCCTTGGTTAGGTTAATTCTGAGGTATTTATTTATTTATTTATTTTGTACTGGGCATCAAACTCAGCACCTTGCACTTGCAGGACAAGTGTGCAGTATTTAATTTTTAAAAAGCTATTGTGAATGAGACTGTTTTTATTCTTTTCTATTTTAGAACTTGGGATCTTGTGCTTGCAAGGCCGGTGGCAGAACCACTGAGCTAAATCCCCGGCCTTATTTTGATTTCTTCCTTAGTAATTTCACTGTTGGTACACAGGAATGCATTGATTTTTGTGTGTTGATTTTGTGTCCTTCCATTTACTGAATTTATTAGGATTTCATGTTTTGTTTGATTTGTTTTTGGGGTGTTGTTCTGGCTTTACTGGGAAATTCCCAGGGCCTTTGCAACCCTTTTTAAATTTGTAAATTTTGAAACAAGGTCTCACTAAGTCTTTTACTTGCCCATGTGGGGCCTGAACTTGCAATCCTCCTGCCTTAGCCACCTACAATGTAGGGTTGTACCAGCATGCCTGGCTATGTTTATTTCTTCTGGTGGAGTTTTTTTTGGGGGTCTTCTATGTAAAGAATCATGTCCTTTCCAAATAAGAATAGTTTTATTTCTTCCTTTCCTACTTGTTTCCCTTTTATTTTTTTCTCTTGCGAGGCGTGGTGGCACACGCCTATAATCCCAGCACTCAGGAGGCTGAGGCAGGAGGATCACTGCAAGTTTGAGGTCAGCCTAAACTACATAGAGAGTTCAAGGCCAGCCTGAACTACATAGTGAGACCCTGTCTCATAAAAACCAATAAAAATAGAAATCCCATTTGACCCAGTTATTCCTCTTCTAAGTATCTTTGAGAGTTAAAATCATTACAATGATGTATGCATACCCATGTTTACAGCAGCATAATTCACACTGGCTAAATTATGGAAATAGCTTGTATGCTCATCAACAGATTAATGGATAAAAGAAAGTGGTGTTATCACAGTGGAGAACTACTGAACCATAAAGAAGGATAAGTTTGAATCATTTGTAGGAAAATGGGTGAATCTTGAGACCATAATGCTTAGTAAAATAAATCAGACACAGGAGGATAAATACTTCATAGTTTCTCTTTATATGAGAACAATGTAAATAATTTAAAGAGCAAAATAAAAGAGGTGGGTAGGAAACGCAGGTAGACTTTGTGGAGATGGGAAGGGGATGGAATGAGAGAAAAGGAGAGGGGAGGAGAGGAAGAAAAAATGATGAAGTTGCAACATTTATAGTATACTTACTAATTCCCCACAATTAATGTAATTATTATGTGTTGTAAAGCTCACCAAAAAAAAATCATTGATATTCTTGTACTCTTACCAATACCCTTATAAATGTATTCCAGTACTCCTGTTGAATTATTCCTTCTGACTCAGAAGAAAGTGGGGAATTCTTTTTAAAAAGACAGGGAGATGAGTTGAGGTAGTGTGAAAGCCTTACTTACATTCAGCCTATTGGTTTGGAAATACTGATTTAGAGATCAGAGCTTTGATAACAATGCCCTTTGATAACAATTATATTCTAACTTTACGAAGGACCCTTTTCTTCCCTTCCTGGTCTACTTAACTATTACATGGTAATAGGAAAATCTCACCTCATACTGAGGAAAACCAAACATTTTTCCCCTTTCCTCCCAGAGAAATGTGCCATTTGTGGAACTCCCTGCAAGCATCTGGCTCTTTCTGACAATGTAAGTTTTCCCTCCGGTACAATTTTATCTCATTCTTGGCCTCTAGGAAGCATACACAAAGTACATATGATGAAATTTTTTTAAAAGATATGGTAGTATATGTATGTAATCCCAGCATTCTGGGAGGCTGAGGTATGAGGATCAAAAGTTTGAGCCAAATCTAGGCAACTTAGTTAGATCCTGTGTCAAAAAATAGAATAAAATAAAATAAATTTTTAAAGGGCTGGAGATAAAGCACAGTGTGAAGTCCCTGTAAGATGATGATGATGATAGTGGGAAAGAAAAGGAACAACAAATTTGTAGATACCAATTGTAAAAGATATAAGAATTATTTTATTTCATTCCAGTATCAGTATGTTATTTCATTCCACTGTGGATGGTCTCATTGTGTGTCTTAATTCTCTTTGTAGTTGAAACCTCAGGAGAAGATGTTCTTCAAAAGCCCTGTGGAGACAGCTTTGCAGTATTTTAGTCATATCTCTCAGGTATGCAAAATAAAAGTTAATAAAATATGGGCCAGGGATTTAGCCCAGTGGTTCCACTGTCTGCCTCACAAGGTCAAGGTCCCAAATTTGATCCCCGGTACCAAAAAAGTTAATAAAATACAATTTTCCAAGAAAATTCTAATTGCATCTCATTCCTTTATCAAAGGTTTTCTTTAGGCTGTGTTTGTACACAATGAAGAGAAACTACTCTTTGCTTTCTTCTTTAATGATACCAATCTCACCCAGTTAACTTTCCAGACCCAGGATCTATGATAGCCTATAAAACTGCTAGGTAGTTAAATTTTGTCTGATACTTCCTAGTTTCACTAATTCATGTGACAAAAGGATGCCCTAGGAAACCTTATTGTCTTTCTGGGCACCCTCTAAAAATTGCTTGCAAATAGCCTGACCCTGCAAACAGTGGATGTGGTAATTTAACTCTTAACCTTTTGCTTACAGATCTAAGTTCATTAAAGTGCGTCTTGTTCTTCATTTTTTATTTTCAAGTTTTACTTTCTAGCAATACTTAATTCTTAGAACTCACAACTGGTTGCCTGAATTTTAGACAGTAGTTGTACTTTCCCGATGCTTCATATCTTGGTAAACCATTGACTTTGTCAGGAGCAGTAAGGGTGTAGAAGAAGGAAAAGAGAAGGCAGGACAATCATGTGAGAGAGTTCTCAACTTATAAACACTTTAGGTTTTTTTTTCTTTCCATTCTCTAGTTCTCTACTGAGAGTCTTTTATAGCCTCACAAGATTTCTATCTTGGCGTATATCTTGAGATTTTTATCACTACTCTTTTTCTTCGCTCTTCTTATTCATTTTGTTTTCAGTGCTGGGGATCAAACCTAGGGCTTTGACAAGCCCTCTACCACTAAGCTACAAACCCCATAGTTCTCATTCTTATGAGAATATACCTTTTCTAAACAGAAAGGTGATACTTAGTCGTTTACTGGTTGACGATAGTAGAGTGATTGATTGATTGATTGACTGATGTGTTTTCCCTTCTTGTCCTAACCCTGGGATAAAGGGAATTAAAGCTTAGGCTGCATCTTTGTCTTTAGTTGCTTAAGTAAGCCATCATATTTGAGATACGATGTTTAACATTTTGAGGAGATAAAATCCAGCTGAGACAATAAGGAGAAATATTTAAAAAGATCACACGAACAAGAGAAAGAGCAGGTCTTTGGTTAATAACTAAACACAGGGTGAGTTAATGATCAGTAGAAAAATTACATGTAGTCTGAATCTTTACCTGCCTAATCACAGGACCAATTATACATGGTCAAATAGTTAAGATAAAGTAAATAGCAATGTTTAGTTAATCATCACTTTAGTGAAGGGCCAGTTTGGTGAAGTCAGCAAAGTCTGAAAATGTATTTTTCTGTAATCTGTGAAGCTGAATAACTGATCAGCCTAATACCCAGGTTGCTTCATTTAGCTCAAAACTTTCTTCCTTAGTCAAACATTTACAGCCCCAATATTCTTTACTCCTTCTCCTACTTTATTTCTATCACAGCTCTTAGCCCTTCATTGTATATTATGTATTTTTATTGTCTGAATTTGATACTGAAATACAATTTAATTTTTTTGCCTCTTTAAATATTTCCTAACATACTGGATACTCAGGACATTGTCATTAAATGAATCAGTGGATTGCCACGCTAAATACCCTTTTTTTTGTTTGTTTGTTTTGTTTTGTTTTGGGTACCAGGAATGGAACTGGGCAGCACTGCGCTAAATCCCTGGCCGGCCCTAACCATTTGCATTTTAACTATCCCCAGTCTTTGTAATGACCCAACAATGGCATTTTGCTGATACACTCTCTGCCTGTAGTGGATCAAACTGCCCATTTTGAATTTTTTTTTCTTGTGGTACTGGAAATTTAACCTTAATCTTAACCTTCTCACTGAACTATATTCCCAGCCCTTTTAAATGTTTTTATTTTGAGACAGGTTCTCACTAAATTGCTAAGTTGCCCAGGCTGGGCTTGAACTTTGCTGTTCTTGTCTTGGCTTGCAGTGTGCTGGGACTACAGGCATGTACTACCACACCTGGCCCATTTTGAATTCTTTACTCACCTCTAGATAATTTTTCAAAGGGAATAGAGATCTTCTTATGGGCCCGTTAGCTTTCTTCTATTCCCAGATAAAGACTCTGCCTACAATTAGCCATTTCTGAAATGCATGCTGATAATTATTCCTTCTTTGGTAAAAGCTTTCACACATTACCATAGGTAGAGTTTTGCTCTGTCTTTTGTTTTCTATCCTATATTGGTTTTAACTCTGCAAAATATTTAACTGTGAAAAAGTGATTTATTTGTTCTTATGTCTTTTTACTCATTGAATTATGAGTTTTTCGAAGGCAGATATTTTTGTAACAATGTCTAACTTGGTGTCTGACACAAATTAGGTGCACAAGTAATGTCTGTAAATAAATGAACACACATTGTGGCTGGTTAGAGGGATGTTAATCAAGATAAGATCAGAGAAAGAAGTACTTATAGGCTTTGGCAAGGAGTTCAGATTTTCTTCTAAGTAGAGTACCACTGAAGGGTTTTGTAAAGACATGGTATTATGTGATATAAAATTTTTAAAAATGAATCTGACTGCTGAGTGGACAATGGATCATAAAATAGTTAAGAATAGAAGTAGAAAGACCAGTTAAGATGCTACCAGAAATATCTAAGCAACACTGCTTAAGTGAAGTAGTAGCAGTATTGTGCTTAATTCTGAGATGTATTTTCCAGGAAGAAGTGTAGAACTTATTTTGATGTGGGTGATAAGAAAGAAAGAGGAATCAAGGGCTGGGGATTTAGCTCAGTGGTTCCGCTGCCTGCTTCGCAAGTGTAAGGTCCTGAGTTCAATCCCCAGTACCAAAAAAAAAAAAAAAAAAGAAAGAAATGAATCAAGGAAGATACCTGGCTTTTTGTCTTGAAGTGCTTTGCCAAATGAAGAAGACTGTTTTAAGGAAAAATATAATTTTTGATACATTAGGTCTTAGATTCTTGATGAAATACAAATGGAGAAATCAGGAAGTCAGATTAATTTACCATTCTAGAGCTCAGTACATAGGATAAGACTGAGGTATAAGTGTGGAACTCATCAGAATATAAATGGTATTTAAAGCCTTGACAGGAGGTTGGTGGTTATGTTTTGTTTTGTTTTGTTTTGAGACAGGGTCTCACTATGTAGTTGAGACTGACCTGGAACTCACTATGCAGCCCAGGCTGGTCTCGAACTCACAGTGATCCTCCTGCCTCAGCCTGCCGAGTGCTATGATTACAGGCGTGTACCCCCATGCCCGGCAGGAGGTTGGTAGTTTAGCTAAGTGGTTTAACATAGCATGTTCAAGGTTCTGGCTTCAATCCCTGGCAACAAAGAAAGGAAGGAAGGAAGGGAAAGAAAGAAAGCAAGCAAGAAAGAGCAAGCCAGCCCTGGAAATAGATGAGGTCATCTAGATTCTAGATAGAGTCCCTTTAGATGTAGCTATTAAGTAGAGAAAGAGAAGTTGGCAAGGAGCTGCAATCAGAGAGGTAAAAACAATGTGGTGTCCCAGATATCAATGTTTATGGTTTATATGTAGATATCCCCTAAAAGCCTAATGCACTCTTTTTTTCGTTTTTGTTTTTTTTCTGTTACCAGGGATCGAACTCTGGTCCTTGCACTTGCAAAGCAGGCACTGGAACCGCTGAGCTAAATCCCCGGCCCACTCATGCACTCTTTTTTATTTTTATTTTATTAATATGTTTATTAAATATATCTATTTAAATATTAATATATTTGCAGTACGTAATGATTACATTCCTCATGGGGAGTTGGTAATGTATATAGCACATCTTAATTTTTTTATCCCCTTGCTGTCCCTCTCCTCCTTCCCTCCATTTCTTGATCTTTTTCCCATTTGAGAAAGATCTATCTCCCTACTTCCTATTATCTTTTATTTTACACTTTATTTATATATTGGGCTTTTCCTATAAGAGAAACAATGCAATATTTAAGCTGTGTGTCTGATTTACTTCATTTAACATTATGGTCTCAAGGTGCATCTTACGTGGGGCTTTTGAAATGTTATTGAATCATGGGGGCAGCATAGCTTACTTAATGTGAGGAAGAGGGCCTGGTTGGAAGAGGCAGGTCACTGGGAGTATGACTTGTTGGGTATAGCTCCCTCCCCAGATTATCTCTTCTCCTTTTGCTCCCTGGCCGCCATAATATAACTTTCTTCTGTGCCAGGCTCTTCTACCAAACCATCAAGCATGCAAAGACTGAAACTTCTAAACTGTGAGCCAAAATAAACCTCTCTGTTAAGCAGTGTATGTCAGGTATTTTTGTCCCAGCACAGAGAAAAGTGATTAAGATGCAAACCAAGGAAGGAAAGTGTTTCAAGAAAAATGAAATAATCATCTGGGTCAGATACTGTTAAGGTGAAATAATATGAGGACAAAGCAAGGTCAGTTGGATTTGGCAGTGTGTTGGTTTTCCTCATAAGAACACAGAGTGGAGTCTTGAGAAAGAACACTACATTAGAGTACACTGATGGGTGTTAGTCCACATTCAGTCTACTTCTTCACCTCCCAAACCTCTCCACAACCTTCTGCAGCCCAGCTTCTGTCTCACTGAAATTCCTCTTGCTGAAGATATCAGCAGCATCCTTATTATCAAGTCCAGTAGATAATTGTTCTTGTTCTTTTCATATTTGATCTCTCAGCAGCATTTGAAGTATGATCTCTTGTCTGTCTTGAATCATTCAGCTACCATAACCAACGTATTTTCTTTTGGGGTTCTGTTGTAATCATGGTTTGCAAGGAAATAGATTTAATACAGGACACATAATTTATAGGATTATTTTATAATAGTTACCCAAAAAGTCAAATACAGAGGAGTACAAGAGATCGATCTGTCCATGTGCTAGAGACCTGAAGAATCCAGCCAAGGGCCTGGATCCTGTATTGTCTGCCATAAGTCTAACTAGAGGCCTAAAGCCCACAACAGTATC